TTCGATTGATTGAAGGAACGTTTATTATTGTATCTAGATTGCATAGGGTGGTCCGCGTTGCTTCAAATGCTTTCGCTATTTTTAGCCCTTCTTCGGGAACCGTGCGTTTACGACAACGTCATTTGCCGCGAATGTTTTCTTTCAAATTATTTCATCGAATTTCGAAGATAATTATACTTTATTTTTGTTCCATAGATGGTTTTGAGGGGACATGGATGGAAATTTTGAAGGGCTGGATTTCAAAATTTCGAGACTGAAGTTTTCAAATTCGGTAGTGGAAATTTAGAATTTTCTGTGAATCGAAGATTAGAAATTAAAGTTTGCAAATTTCCAAGTTTCTTCGAATCGAAGCTTAGAATTTCAAGTTAACGAGTTTAAATGCTCGAAAATTTCCAAATTTTCACAAATTGAACCTTAGAATTCGGAGTTTCCGAGTTTGGAAACTTGCAAATTTCCAAATTTTCACAAATCGAAGCTTGGAATTCGAAGTTTTTGAATTTGGAAGCTCGCAAATTTCCAAGTTTCTTCAAATCGAAGCTTAGAATTCGAAGATTGCGAGTTTAAATGCTCGAAAATTTCCAAATTTCCACAAATCAAAGCTTAGAATTCGAAGTTTGCGAGTTTGAAATTTCGCAAATTTCCAAGTTTCTTCAAATCGAACCTTAGAATTCGAAGTTTGCGAATTTGGAAGCTTGCAAATTTCTAAATTTCCACAAATCAAAACTTAGAATTCGAAGTTTGCGAATTTGGAAGCTTGCAAATTTCCAAATTTCCACAAATCAAAGCTTAGAATTCGAAGTTTGCACATTTTAAAACTTCCAAATTTCTTAAAGTGAAAGCTTAGAAATCAACCTTTCCAAGTTAGAAAGCTGCCAAATTTCCAAGTTTCTACATTCAAACTTCGGTGCTCCAGATTTTTACAAAGAATTAACAAGATCAAGTTTTAAAGCTCCGAAAGAATATTCACTGTAAAAAGCAGTTTCAGCTGTGCCGTTTTAAATAAAGAGATCGTTCAAGTCAAATACTTCGTTGAACGTAGACTACCCTTTCGGGAAAAAGAAAAATCAACCCGTTTCCCGTGGATCGTGCACGAGCAACACGACGGAAACGTGACTAAAGAGTCAATGAAAGCTTCTTGTCGCGACACTTTACAAACGTTTTCCATGAACTCGCGTCGCTCCAGCTCCTCGGGGTTAAAAATACAGAGGATGGTAATTATTCAAAGGCATGCAAGTGGATATTTTGACATGGTCATACGCGAGGAGGACGTCATCGAGCGTTCTATGGAACCCCATAGGCCAGGAATACCCCTGTCGTGTACAGGGTGAATCATTTAAATGGCTTCAATTTATCATTATTTCAAATTTACACTAATACAGATAACGGTTTTATAAATAAATTTTCTACATTTTTGTTGAATGTATGAAATCAACTTTAAGAATGTTGAAACAGGAAATATCTTGTGATTTATAAGCTCTGGAAATAACTAAGAACTACCTGGAACGTTCATCATTCTGTCAATAGAACAATAGCCCCGAGGCAATACTTGTTCATCAGAGTTGGGTATTATATCAAATAATCTGCTGATACAAATTTTGACTAATGATAGAACGAAGATTTTCAAAAATAAGTAATAAATTTTTTGGAATAATTAAAAATTAAATTAGTTGTTTGAAAATGGCAAGGAAAATCAAATTTTGTTTGAAATAAAAACTTATTTCAAATTGAAAATTATTCGACTTTTATTCAAAAATCTATAAATCATTTTTTATTCAAAGAAACAATTATTTCTGATTTTTTAATATTTTCATTTCATTCGAAATATGTATCAGAAGATTAATTGAAATAATGTCCAACACTGTTATGCATATACATTTTTCTGAAAAATCTGAAACCACTTGTCCATCTTCAAAGATAGAAAAATGTGAAATTTTCATAATTATATAATAGAAATCTTTTCAATATTAAAGCTCAAAAAATTATTTCAGTACCTTTCTTCTGTTTTAATTCAAGATTTATTTTTGAAATATGAATTCAAAACATTCAGAAGTATGCAAAAAATAATATTAAAAGAGTCATAGTATCTCTAATTATTGAAATATGTAATCCACTTTTTAAAGCCACAGAAGTGCAAGAAAATATTCAAATTTAAACCAATGCTAAAGGCATATTAACAAATTTGTAAATTTTTACAATTCCCAGTGCCGTAAATACCCAAATCCTCTTCCACGATAATAGGACAGAAATAAAACAAAGAACCAGCTTCAAGTAAAAAAGCAACCCCTAGGAAGTAGATATCTTGTCTGAATTCGAGACTCGTTAACATAGCTCGTAAATATAGGGTGGGCAAACAGGGCGCGAACTTTTCGCAAAGAGTATCGCAGAGAGGGAGAGAGATCAATCAGGCTGGGCTTACGCGATTTCTTGTTTCCCAGGCTCAAAGGGAAAACAGCCCACAGGCATCTCGACGGCGCGTTCGTTTGCGTCAGGGACGCAATTTCCATTTTTCAAAGGGCCAACACGAGTGCCGACCGATGGAAACTTGACGAAACCAAATATGCACCTCCGGTGTGCGTGGCTGCTTTGATCAACTTCTTCTCTCTTGCGACGAGGAAGACGAGTTTTCCTCTCCTTTTTCCATACCGATCCTCCAGCTTTAATGTACGTCGTCTCTGTTTATGTACCTCTTCCGGGCTAACGCAATTGCGACCTGGCTAAACATTTTCTTCCTCTGGTAATAATTAATATATCGTGGGTACAGAGAACTGCCCTCGGGCATCGGCAAGTTCAGAATGTACCGATCGTTTTCTTCTTCCTCGTTCATCAACCTGAGCGACGTTATACTTGCTCGTTTGTAGAGAAATTAATTTTTCTCTCCTGATTGAACTGTTAACCATCGGAACGAGTTGATTCGTCGTTTCAGCGAGAGATATATGGAAACTAATAATCATGTTACTTAAGAATTCTTGCCTCTGGTGGTATTGTTATGAAGACTATTCATTGTGCTGTCACGGATAATCACGGTGCTCGTTCGAACAATTAATTTTCATTGCTTTAATTAATTACTCAATGGAACGTTCATTAAAATACAATTGAATTGTTCGCATAGGATAACGAATACAGTTGTTGGTTGAAATATAATATAACGCGTTTCGTCGCCCTCGGACGGCGGACCATGGAGAGAGCCCCAAGTCGGCGCGGCGGACCATGGAGAGAGCCACAATTATAATTTAATTTTGTACTTTATATTATTTTCTCTTGCTTAGAAATGACATATCTTATTTTAGGTAATATTCTTATATATTTTATTATATAAATTAGGAAAATTGTGCAGTATATTATTTAGGAAAAGGGTCGATTAATTGTATACGTTACTCTACGTCGATTCTTTGAAAGTATTTCTGAAAGTCATTTTTTTTCTATCTCTATATCCTTGGATATCGTCGGAGCTTTGTGAACAGGCACTTTCGCGTAATCCTTACAAATATCACTCCCACAGAGCCTTGACATTTCGCCAACACGGAAATCTTCCACAAATAAATAACTTCTCCGAAAGGACAAGCGACTTTAAAGCCACCGACTTGATGAAATTTAATATTTAGAACGATATTTGTACAAAAACTTCTTCAAATTTTTTAATCTTCCCGTTACACTTATAATGAAGAGATAACGAAGGGTGCTGTTTGAAAAAAGAAAAAGAAAACGATCAGATACAGACGATTTAATAGGATCCAAATAGCCGTTGGTTTCTACGTAGAAAATCCGAATTTATGAACCTCCGCAAAGGATTTAATTTATTTAAATTTCCTAGCTGCAAGAGCCCCCCTTTAATCCTGATTTACCACGTGGCTTTTCTTCTTGCACGCGTATACTCGCCGCGCGGCTTACGCGAGCTGTTATCACACGAATGCTTGTAATGCGTTTTGCGTGGCTGATAATAAGCGATGGATCCGAGTGAGATTGCTTCCTTTAGAAATATCACGGATACCTAACTCCACTCGTCAAGATATTAAAGGCGGTTTTACACTAGCAGTCGCAGGAAAGTCATTCGCGTCAAGTTAGACAGCGATCAATATCGTTTAATCCGCGATCTAATTAAAAATATATTGTTTCCATTTGGTTTAGTCAAATAAAATGAAAATTTATTTACCTTAAAATCCAAAACAAGCGCGATTTTTATTTGCCTTCGGACGGCGGACCATGGAGAGGCCCCGGAGATAACGCGGCGGACCATGGAGAGAGTCTCAATTCTAATTTAATTGCACTAGTACCGCTGTCTAGATTTAATATAATTGCAAACAAATTAAAAAATAATCGAAATGTTATTAGACTCGCGTGTTCTGGACCGAACGTATTAATCACCGGAATGGGACAGGAACAAAGGAAACGGTCCTGCGAGTCCATCTAATCGGTTCGCTAATCTCCGTAGCGAGGAACGATCGATCAAAAGCACGTATATCCAGAAGAGAAAAGCAGCCCCGTAGCATCGTGATTTTTCATTTGTTTCGCACCGGTCAGCCTTTCGGCGATGAGATTAGGCGGTCCGAAACTTTATTCGTATCAGTCGGTTAAGTAATTGGAAGGGAGCCCACGGGCCACGGTGATTTATCACTGGTTCCTTGACGCAACGAAAGACGAGGAAGGGTTAGAGGGCAGAGATTGTTGTACGAGCTGACCAATGATCGATCGTTTCGATAGGTACACCGAGGCAGACCGTCTGTTCCCGTAGCACCTTGATTAAACGATCCCCGTGATAAAAACGTCGCGACAGTTTGATGAGCTTCGACTCGACTGTTCTTCGCCTTCCGTTGAATCATTCTTCAAGTTGGTACACTCGTTAGGAAAGAAGAAAGATTAATTTACTAATTGATAAATTAGTCGCTAGACTTTCTGAAATATCAGAAAGAAGAGCGTTGTATTTAAAATATTCTTTGATGAAAATTCTGAACTTTGAATTTTCACGAGTGCAACACTTCAAGTAGCCGTTCGTCTGCTTTCAGGTCAAAACGACATCAAAAAGCTACGCAGAGAGAACGAGCAGCTGCGTAGGGAGATATGGAGCCTCAGGGACGAGTACGACAAACTCGAGGAGATCCTGAAGAGGCAGAAGAGCCGCACAGAAAGCGAGGAATACGAGGTATCCATTGATGAATTTGTTGGGGAAAGAGCGATGAGAGACGAATCGATCGACGCTTCGAGTTCGGAGATTCTCCCATGGGGGGATGCTGCGTTGATTTATTGAAATGAACCGTGTTTTGAAAGCGGGTCTCTAAGTTGCCGATAGAAAAATTCAACAATAAATAGATCGTCAAGAGTCGATCGATTTTTAACCTTCCAAATTAACGTTCCGGAAAACTGAACGAAATCGTACGTTTCAGGATCGCTCCGAAGAGGATGACGAACTGCAATCCGACTACTCGTTCGAGGAGGACGAGAAAGCCGAAGAGGTGGACACCGAAGAAACCTGCAAGGATCTCACTAAATCCGAGCAGCTAGAGAACGCTGAAAATCAGAAGATCTCGTCTGAAAAGATGACCAGCAGTCTGCACAGGCTGCACGTGGACTTCGACGACTTGTCCGTAGTCGACGAAGAGGAGGAATTGAAGAGGGACAGGGAGAAGAAGGACCAGTCCTCTGAAGACGTCCAACAATTAAAGGAAGAGAAAGGTCCTATGTCTATCCTAAAATCCAGGCAACTGCACGAAAATATACCTTTCTACCCTGGTACCTATCAGCCACCTACCGACTTGACCAGTCCTACCTACTACACTGAGTGTCCCTTCAAGTTCCCAAGCACCCTAAATCTCATGGTGCCACCCGAAGCACCAGGGATGCTGGGTGATCAGAATATGGATCAGATCAACGATCAGATACTGCACGCGCCTCCTCTGGGCTGGCAGACTAACATTCTGATGCCTCAGAATCAGATACCAAACTTTGGGACTCAGGATGTGGACGAAGCTTTAGGTATGCAGGGTTTTGGAGGGAATTATCAAGACACAGGGTTCCTTAACTACCCTAGTTTCTTTCAAAAGAGGAATATAGGTCTGAACCAACCTGGCAGCGCGTTCAATCACCCAGTCTTTGGGAATTCGCAAGCAGTTTCTGATAAAATGGTCACTGAGAATGGCTGGGGTATTGAGAAAGACTCGAAGGATCAAGGATCGGATGAATCAAAGAAGCAGGACGCTGAAGACAAGGCTTCGGAAAAGCCGAAGCACTTCTTCGCGCCGTTGCCTTCCAAGATCAAGAAGCATACCGAAGAATCATCACCGACTACTAGTAACTTTGGAACGGGGAACAGTTCCAGCAGTGGCAAGACTGGGTCTACCGTGATTTCCAAGAACCAGTTCGCTCAGAAAGGCTCGGCTGACATTTACGTGAAGGGTGCAGTGCCGTGCGAGGAGGATTTGCTGAAGAATAGAACTGAACAGAGGACATACTTGAGTACAGACAACCTGGTGATCAACGAAGATAAATCCATAACAGGGAACCAGTTGACGAAGTCGATGTCCTGTCAGGATCTCTCCTCCGAGTCCCAGATCGCCTCTATCAGCGAAGGTAGACAGCCACTGATGACCCAGAGTGACAACACTTTGGACAACATATCAGACTCGAAACCGTACAAGTCCCACCTGACAGTGACGTTAAAGACCCCACGCGCGCAGCAAGCGGTCAGCCCTGACACCCCAGAGATCCCTCAGCTACCTTCCATAGAGTCCCGACTGTTCAAGAACCCTTTCCTACGCGATTTCGAGCCGAGCCGCAGCTACGTGGACCAGAACAACGTGACCAGACCCCTGTCCGTCCAAGTGAACGACGACAGCCTCTGTTATTATTCATCCCGTCCGGATGTCTCCACTTTCAAGAGAGGCATCCACTCGGGGGACAGGTACAGACAGGTGCAAACCGATCCGAATCGCCTGTTGATACCCTCCAATCAATTAATCAACGGGAAACTGATGTCGCCGACCAACAAACATCAAATTCAAGTGACATCCTTCGAGAGACCGAGTCCACGGACTCTGGTAGGTTCGTCCAGCCCCTACGACTATAGCACCCTACGCAGGTTGAACCCTTCTTACCTCCAGAAGCAGAATCCTTATCAGAACATGAACTTCCTGCCCAGAGCTGGGTTTTATCCCCAAAGAGGGATGATGTATTACGACACCCTGACGCGCAAGGTGCCAGCGCAGACCCAGACCTCCATAGACGGAGACTCTCACCACGAAGACGAGCACGCGTTGTTCCACGAAGAGAGTGCGCCTAGCACTCCAAGTGGACAACGTCGCAGGAGGGCGATTAGAAAGGAGAAATTTGGGGTGATCAAAGAGCTGAAGCCTGTGACACCGTTGCTTCACAGGAGGCTGAGGAAGCAGAGCAGCGTCACTTCCTCGGAGGTGCCTGAGACACCTGAGAAAGTGGCCAGGAAGAAGATGAGGAAGTTGAGCATGACACCGACGACCACGTCGGAGTGTCAGGAGGACAAGAACGAGAGCAGATCCTCGTCGTCCGGGCAGGATTCGCCTAAGAAGGATCAGACGAGGAGGGTGTCTCTGTATTTCAACGCGAAGAAGAGACCCTCCCTGACGTCCGTGAAGACCAGCAGGAGCGGAAGCGTCGACGTGGTCAGAGATAAGGATATCGTAACGAACTCGGAGAGGGAGAGGACCAACTCGATGAGCAGCAGGGAGACGAGCGCGAAACCGAGGAAAACTAGCACCAGCAGTGGGAACGTGCCATGGTGCGCTTGCTGGGGCAACGGGTGTATCTAGGATATCCTAATTGATTTCGTTCGGTTTAATTAGACGTTCGAATTTTGTTTACCTCGCGGATCCAGCCGATCCCGTGCGGTTTCGATCGAATTAAAAGCTACCTCCTGCTCGGTCAGGAGGTATCGTTAGAAAGTGTGAGGCAGGTTGCGATACTGGTTCCGACGGAGACTCGTTTATGAGCGTTGAGTAATTAACTGGTCTGAAGGGAATTTTTGTTCGCCGCGATACTCGGTGGTTTCGTACCTACGACTTGGGTAAACTTTGGAATATTCATAAAGAGATAACGAGCATGAAATACTTGCACTGTTTATGAAGACTGTCATTTATCTGAAGAGAAATTATTGCCTGGGATTTTGTTTGAAAAATTTTGCAATCTTTTGGTTCAACGTTTGAAACGGTAAATGTTAGGTTTTGTGGAATAAGAAGGAAAGGAGCAATTAAATTTGTGATTTAAAAAGTAAAGTCAAAAGTCAGAAGTCACCCCATTTGGATCATCAGAAATTATAATATGAATCATATGGAAATAATGGATAATTGGAAATTATATGGCAAGTTGTAATCAGAATTAATTATAACTGGGTCAAAAATTATAATGGGAATCATATGGAAATAATAAATAATGGGAAGTTATAATGGGAAATATAATTGGGTCAGAAATTATAATGGGAATTATGTGGAAACAATGAATAATGGGAAATTATATGGGAAGATTACCTTCGACATCTTTAAAGTGACAAGGAACGACTTTGGGGTAAAACGTCACCCCATTTGGATCATCAGAAATTTCTTTTGAAAAGAAGCAACGAGATATCGAACCAGTAGCGATATTTTCCAGGAAGAGCTGTATCGACCTTCAACGCAAATATACGGCAACCGCTGCAACCAATGGGAAAAGCCATAAAACTAGCAGCGGCTGAACCAGGACACCATAAAACCTGTTAGCGTTCCGGTGACAGTTGTAACCGAAATGGCTTCTGCCAACACGATCGGTTCATGATGTCTAAGGTGTTTCTAGATCGAAATAGGAAATTAATATTTAACTAGGAACCGAAGGCATCCGATGGAATCGAACTATAATGGAAAATTAAAATGTTATTTGTAATTTTATACCGACTGTAGGTTCAAAACGTTAACTGTATTATTTTTCATTGTGGACTTTCAAGAGAAAAGTGTCTTAACACTTTGATTAAATGGACAAAGTTTAATGAAATAAAAATAGTTAAGGTGTTAATTAGAAATAAGTTTCATTCTTATATTTTCAGAACTAATTATTTAAGATTTATAATTTATTATGTGTACGTTAGATAATAAGCTTTTTGTAATACAACAATTTAGAAATATCATCCATGCATTTATTTAGCGTTAATGATATTGTATATATATTATTATAAATAAGTTTGATACACGAATCAATCGAAATTAAATCTTATGATGGTATTAAAGTATCGTTCATTTAAAAAAGTTATTAAATAGAGTAAGTGTACATTTTGCAAATATAAAATTTCTATTGTACTTGGAAAATTAAAAATTAACGATGGTAAACTACTTCAAAATTCTTTGTTAATATAGGGTGATTTATATCATTGTTTACCCCTGTACAATAATTACCCCATTTCCTAAAAAAATAAGGTATATAATATAATGCATTTCTTAACCCTTGAAGGGCGGACCATGAAGAGAAACATTCGAAGACTATTTCAAAAAATTCTCAATCAAATTTGTTACATTAATAATTGCATTCTCTTCATTATTTTTTTGTTTTATTTTATTACTGCAAGGGGAGGTTTAAGAGAAGAAATTTTAACACAGACCACAATGCAAGTATTGCAGTTTTGCATTTATTGTTAAGCTTGCAATTATAAAAAATTACTACAAATTCATAAAGATTATTTTGTAGAAATTACAATAATTTCCTCTTTTCTTAAAAAATTAATAAATATCATATAATAGCAGACCAAGGAGAAAGACACAATTTTAATTTAATCTTCTATTTCATATTCTTTTCATTTTCTAAATCTTATATTGTCCCTTTAAAAATTATTTTTCCAATATAATTATAATTTATTATGTAAAAAACACATTATATTATACTTCCTATTTTTTAGAAAAAGAATCAATCATTCACAAAGGTCAATAAATGTCTACATTTTCCTATATTGATAAATTCATTATGTATCACTATTCCTTGCTTCACCTGTTCTCGTTATTCAATAATCATTCCTCTACATTGATCTAATAAACAGTCCATAAAAGTGCAGTCGAGAAATCATTGTATTACCCATCGAGTTATTCATCGAATTATTGATCATTCTGGGCAACTTATTCCAAGAGTCCCATTTATTAATGGCCGTGCCAGGGGGTGGAAGTTAAAGGTAAAGTTCGCGAGCATCTTACGCGTAAACTTCTCCACCGTTCCCGTTATTCCTTGCTCCTTTTAAAGAGAGGCGGAGCCGGAAGAAATTTAAAGAAGCCGGGAGAAAGGAACCGTTCGGATAAATTGAATGTGCTTACAATTAAACGCTTCCCTCCCTCTTTTTTTTCTATCCCGCGGAAAGGAAAGTTTAAGAGCGTCGAGATGGAAGAAGCCGCGAAATTGAACGTGGAAAGGAAATCTTGAGGAAATTTTTTACAAAATTTCTTTGATCTTATGATCTTCCAAACAAAAAAAAAAAAAAAACAAAAAAAAATTGATCGGATTGAATAACCTCCTCCTTTTTCAAAGTCGGTTAAAAATAGAAAATTGCGACCAGAGAAGCATAATAGATCTCTAAACTTCAATTTCAATGTTCAAAACGATTAAAGTCCGATTATTCTTTCAGAAGGGTGCCAAAAATATTCCAAACGATCAGTATTATACCCCTTCCCTGTCGAGCATGCGTCAAAGCTAAAACGAGGCTGGAATAGAAGCAGAATGGCCGTTGGAACAAAGCTTTCAGCTTGGGAACGCGGTAGGATAAGGTGGTAGCAGGTTGCAAGGGTGCAGTGTCAACGTTAGCGGAGGGGCGGCTGGGCGCAGACTGGTGCAATTAAAATGCAAATTATCTCTTTTCGCGCGGCCATCTTTCCAGAACGGCCGGATATCTCGCGACCCTACGCCGTCACCGATTAACTTGGAACTAATTTACGAGACGACTCGGCCGGAGCAGACGTTTTGTCTCGAGATAGACCCGTTTCGTTAATACCGGCTAACGTCATTTGCAAGTGTCAGTCGGGGCCAGGTTTCTTCCTTACGAGCATGATTTTCGTCCGGAGCGAACTTAAAGATCGAGCAACTTGAGAAATTATTGCGAATAATCTTCTTTTATCCTCTCTATTTTATCTAGGAAAGTCTGTTCTATGGATACAATAAAATGGCAAGAGTTTGCAATTGATTTCAATAATAAGAAAATAAAATAAATGGAATTTTTGAAAAAGGTTCGAAAAGGTTTCTTGGGAATTATTACGGAAAGCCTTCTTTTAGTATTTCTATTTTTCCTAAGAAAGTTTGATCTATGGACACAATAAAATAGCAAGAATTTACAATTGATTTCAATAATGAAAAAATAAAATAAATGAATGGAATTTTTTAAACAGGTTCGTCAAGTATTGAAAAGGTTTCTTAGGAATTATTACGGAAAGCCTTCTTTTACTATTTCTATTTTTCCTAGGAAAGTTTGATCTATGGATACAATAAAATAGCAAGAATTTACAATTGATTTCAATAATAAAAAAATAAAATAAATGGATCTAAATGAACTGAAAGATCGAGCAACTCATTACGAACAATCTTCTTTTACCCTCCCTATTTTTTCTAGGAAGATCTAATCTATAGATGCAAAAGTTCGCAATTAATTTCAATAAAAAAAAAATTAAAAAATAAAATAAGTGGAATTTTTGAAAAAGTTCGTCAAGTATTGAAAAGGTTTCTTGAAAATTATCATGATAAGGCTTCTTTTACCATTCCTATTTTTCCTAGGAAAGTTTGAACTATAGATACAATAAAATAGCAAGAATTTACAATTGATTTCAATAATAAAAATATAAAATAAATGGATCTAAATGAACTGAAAAATCGAGCAACTCATTACGAACAATCTTCTTTTACCCTCCCTATTTTTTCTAGGAAGATCTAATCTATAGATACAAGAGTTTGCAATTGATTTCATTAAAAAAAAAAAATAAAATAAATGGAATTTTTGAAAAAGTTCGTCAAGTGTTGAAAAGGAAGAAGCAACGAAGCAAACAAGGCGAGCCTGTACGTTAATTACAATTCTGCACGTGATTTACAGTAATTGAGCAGCAACACGGCTGAGATACGTTTATCGTTCACTTGCAAACAGACCTAACTACTCTTAGCTCCGATATCAAGCGATACAGCAAAGATTATCGGATGGGAATAGTATGCAGTCGACCCCATGAATTCCAATTAAAAGCCTATCGTAAGTATTTATAGACCAAAGACGCGTACAGTATCTACTGTTACAATGGCCGTTTAGATAATCAGCTTTAATTACGCACCTCGTAAAGCCTTTATGAATCTGCTCTGCTCGAACAATACTGCGCCATGGTTTAAGCAAAGACGTGTAGTTACCTGAAAACAGAGAAGTGACTGTTTAGTATCTGTAATAACATTCTTAAGTGTTATTTATCAATTAGCATTTATCACTTGTATTTTTATTAATTTAAATTAATATTAAAAATATTTAGGAATAAAATTCAGTCGTGATAAAGAAAATAATAATTTCTAAATTTCTAATTTACTAATTTTTAAAATATTCATATTAAGAATTATTCAGAAAAACATTATTTCATAATAGAATATTGTAAAATTTAATAAATGTTATTTTCAAAAAAGTTTTATTCTTTGCCAAAATTTTTCATTTACCTAAATTAATTATGTAAATTTACTCAGAGTAAATTAATTAGTCCTAGTATAATTATTATGTATTTATGTGTTTTCTTTTTTATTGAAAATTTACTTACTTAAAAAAGATCTTATGCTTTGCTAAAATTTTTCATTTACCTAAATTAATTGGGTAATTAGGTAATTAGGTAAATTTACTCGGAGTAAATTAATTAATCCTAGTAAAATTCTTTTCTATTAATAATTTACTTATTATTTATATTTAAATGCATCAAGAGTAAATAATAAAACCTGCATTGGTATCTCTAGAATTTCATTTTAGAATGGGACAGAAATGAAAGTACGAATGGTGTTTCATTGATTCTACGTAATCTTTGTTAAAATCAAGAAACGAAAACGTTCATTTTCCACAGCTGACTCGAGTGTCCGGCGGGTGATATTACGAGCACGAAATTACGGTAGAACGTAATAAAGCTTCAAGTTTCGCCCAAATTCCCCGTCGAAATTGAAGGGACGAGACACGGGCAAGGAAAGAGTAATGAAACCGGTGTGCAAGTGTAATATGGAATAGCGCGAAAACAAGGGATTCTTGCGAGCTTCCGCGAGCCCCTGGCACGCGAAGTGTTTGAAATTTCTTTCCAACTGAAACTTGCAGCCACCTTCCGTCTACAGCTTTTTTATTAAAGGCAGAAAGACCCAGAAGCACCGCGAGAATGTTTTATCTCGGTAGGAAAGTTTCGTTATGTAACTTTAGAAATATACTTTTTTTCCCTTCTCCTACCAATTCATCTCGACGGAAAGGTTGTTCAAATTTGTTCTTTATCCTTTCACCAAGAG